GAATTGGGGAAATATGCTTCGTCCAATCACCTTTGATATAACCTCATTTGAGTTGTGCAATACAAGCAACATTATCTTTATAAAAAATTGTTGGACTATCTTTTATTGAAATTAATACACATGATACTGGATATGATGGGTCATGTTTCTCAACCATACACATTCTCGGCACGAAGTACCTAACGTTAATGAAGTCAATGATTTGAGGATGTTGCTGTCGAGGATTGCTTTACAGATTTCCATGATATAGCTGTTCCTCCACGTGTAAACACGTATCTTGTTCGTGATTTAGCTTTATGTGGGTTAGAGAGATAACATGCATCTGCATATCCCACTAAAGCAGATCCCGATTTTTGAGAATAAAATAATCTCAAATCAATAGTACCTTTTAGGTAACGAAAAATATGTTTAACACCATTCTAATGTTTTTGTGTTGGTGTGGAGCTATATCTTGCAAGGAGATTTATAGAAAAAATTATGTCGAGTCGAGTACAGTTTGCAAGATAAATTAATACTCCAATTACACTAAAATATGGTACTTCAAGACCAAGAACATTTTTCTCCATCTCCAAGTGGACGAAAATGATCATTTTTTCACATCAAGTGATCAAACAACCATATGTGATATCAATGGATGTGCATTATTAATATAAAAGCGCTTTAAGACTTTTTTCTGTATATGTGATTAATGAACAAATAATCTCGCTAGAAAATGTTCAATCTACAACTCGAAACAGAATTTGATTGTTCACAAATCTTTCATCTCAAATTTATTTTTCACATAATCTGCAGTTTTGTTGAACTATTCAAAAGTCTCATATATATTATAATATTATTTTGAGGGTAAATGTCTTTCAGGTTATGAACATTAATTACACAAAGAATATGCCTCGTTAAAACCTTATTAGGAAAAATTCTGTGGGAAAATTCTAATGAATGAAAAAGAGTACATCATTTTTTTAAGTACGCTACAAGAGTTGTCTCATTAAAAATCTTGTCAGGAAAATCCAATGGGACAAAACATTGGTTAAGGGAAAAAGAGTACAACACAGATTTACTCCCCTCATGATAATATCACTTAAATTATGTTTCAAGCATATTAAATCCTTGCAAAATAGTATCAAAACCATAAATTGTCTATAATGACATTTATTACATGCATATTAAATTTCATGTATTGTCACGCTAATGAAATAGAAACTTGTGATTACATCCACCACATGATAATTTATCTATTTATACAAGTCTTCACGAAATTCATTATGTAAAGAGTTATACATTTCATCTTATGACTTTACTTTTTTCATTTTCATTTCGCATAAGTATACACCTTTATGTGTTCAGATTGTATATCCAGAAATTTCATGTTTCTCTAGTAAATTCTTTCACTAGGATCGCGTCATTTTATTTGGCCAATCATTATTTCGATCGATGATGAATTTATTTTAATATCCTTGCTACTCATAATATGATGCACTACATCATGTGCAAAAGTGTTGTCGCCAACTTTTTATTTTTAGATTCTATTCTTTTCTAGAATGACATAACTTATTAAAATATCTCAATTTTCATTATTTTTGGTATTTGAACCTCTTCTGGAGTTTTGAAACTTGCTATGTCTAAATACTCATCAAGAGTATATGTCTTCTTAATAAGATCATCTTTACCAATTGATGCATTTTTGTTTGAAGGATTTTGTAATAGAATCGAATATTATCACGCTTCAGGCGTGCCATAAATTTATCAAATATAATATTAACGAATTGTCATTCCAGGAGTCAACTGGAGTTAGAGCATTTAAAACTGATGTGTGAGATTGTTAATCTTTTTGATCAGTAAATGCATCTAAATAAATTATTCGTCGAACTTCTTGTTCGAATTTTCTTTTGCGAGGATTTAGATAATGATGAATTGGTACATTATTTTCAATTTCTTAATTCATCCCCCTAATACCGAGAAAATTGTCCAATCAAATTGGTAATCATTTTTTTTTCAACGTTATAAAATATCACTCATTTGGAATAAGGGTTATTTTCAGCATTCTTTAGTTTCAATCTCAGTGCATTATGGTGGATCAATTTTACATATATTGCACTATCAAAATAATTTGATGGAAAAATTAGGCTCTCATCATAAGCCAAGTTATAATTGTGAGAACTATAATATTGACATAATGCATAATGGTTTTCCCTAAATAGAAATGTGAAATATTTTGTTCTCAATTAAATTAAACGAGGCATTTAACAAGCAGTAGTGTTACTATTTATCGACATCCCAACTGAAACTTATTAAAATGTTGAGATTTATGATAACTAGCATTAACAAGATACACTATCTTGATTGTATAATATGAAAATTATGCTCATAATTTGAGCAGCACTTTCGCAAATTTCAGGTTGCGAACACCATGCAATCATCTAGTATTTGTATCAAATCTATTAGATACAAATAATATTTAGATGGTCAATGTGGAGGGTGACGAGGCCCCATATATGACCATAATTAATTTTCAAAAATATAAGGAATTCAATCCCTATTTAGCTAGTAACAATCAATGACTAATTTTCAATAAAGAGAATAAATATCAAATATAAATTCTTTGAATTGAAGAATCTTCTAGTATTTCGTTAAATGTCCATTTGAATTCTCATTTCGCATCATTATTGATCCAGTGATGATCCAACTGGTCATACCAAACAAATTGAACTTCTGGTTCAATATAATATTTATTTTAATTGTATCACACATTTTAGAAATTTATCATGTTTCTCTTTCATTTAGTAGAGAATACAATCAATAGTAAAATTTTATTCTCTTATATTACGCAGTATTGATTCTTCTATAATATCAAAATAATATTTTTCTGGAATATTGATATATACCAGTTATGATTATTCACAAATAATAGAACAATATTCTTCAGGAATATCGATATATTTAAATTAATTATAACATTCTTCGAAAATATTAATATGTATAAATTTGTGCTTCTTCATGAACACAATACAGTATTTTTCAAAAATACTAATATATATTATTTTTGCTTCTTCTGGAGTAATATATCAATTTTTTTTTTTTGGAATATTGGAATCGTAGTATCATGCTATTCAGAAGCAATAACATAATATTATTTAAAAGAATAAATTGTATAAGAATTTACTCTTCGGGAGTAAAAACATAATTTTAATTATGCTCTTCGGGAGCAAGCAAAAATAACTAGAACATAAATAATAGTGTGCTACTTCAAGAACAACAATAAATTACTATTTAGGAAACATTAACTCTTTAAAAGTATATTTTTTATGATAATATAATATTTACAAAATTATGCTTCTTCAAGAGCAATAAACCAATATTCTTCTAGAATATTGAAAATTATAATTCATGCTTTTCAGGAGCAATCACATATTATTATAATAAAATAGGAATTTACTCTTCAGGAGTAAAAATATAATTTACATTAAATCTTATTTAATTATACTCTTTGGGAGCAAGTAAAATCTACCTAAAATATTTGTTCATAATTGTGTGTTATTTCAGGAGTAAAACAAACTATTATTTAGGAACATTAACTCTTCAAGAGCATGTTTTAGTAAAATATTACTATTTGCAGAGTTGTACTTTTTCAGGAGCAACAATGAGATATATTATCAATTTATATTTATAATAGAACATCTAAAAATATTTAATCGGACTAAAAATATTAATTACCATATAGACAAGATATGCTATAAAAATTAATTACCAAATATACATTAGAAAAAAATTCAAATATGAATTGATTTCGATAAAAAAAATTGATACAGCGGTTAGAAAATTAATACAAATGTAATGATTACAGACAATAGTAATTCATACAAATTGAAGATGGCGGCACACAGAAAAAAGGAGAATTGAATGCATAAGTTTTCGATTAGCTATTAATGTAGCCAAGAAAGAAATTGAAGAAGCGAAATTCAATAGCAACAACATAGGTGAATTACTTAAAATGGTGGCCACGTTGGAGAAAGAGAAATCGGAATTCAACAGCATTCAACATAGAGAAGGAATGCATATGCATATAAAAAGATTTACATGTCACCAAATTAGTTTTGGTACATGTAATTGATGATTATGCAACAAAAAAATCATTACCTTTTAACAAATTCACTTTGATTTTAAGAGAATCGTGCTGATAACGTGTCGTGAAAAGAGAGAAAAGAAGAAGAGAATAAGAGAAGTCAATAAATTTGTGTGTATTATAATGAGAATCAAAGCACTATATTTATAGGGAATGAATGTGAATACATATGGTAATAATATCTTGGGTTGCAGGAGGTACAATTGTCATTCACCAATAACTTACTATTTACACCATTTCCTATTTTTTTGCTGTTTGATGAGCCTCACGCGTCCTTTTTCCTTGGAATTGTAGAATTGATTTTCTTGCATTTTTTGTGGTAAAAGATTTTCCACCTTTATTTTTTTGCAATTGGAAAAAAGTCTAAACACAATGATAAAAAAAAAAAAAATTGCTTTTATTAACAATTTCCATATAAAATAAAGCCAAACGAATAGTATTCGGTATGGTAATTTTTTTTTCTCAAATAATTTTTGGCAATTGAAACAAATTATAGACCTAATGGTAGAAAATATTATCACTTTAATAGACAATTTTCATAAAAAAACGAAGTCAAATGGATACCAAACTTTCAACATTTTTCAGGTGGAAAATAATATTAATCAAACATAATTAATTACAATTCCCAATAAAATAATTTTTAAGCAAATCAATTCCCTATAAAACATTTCATTTCAACTTATTTTTCACATTTGTAATCAAACGGACTCTAATAATTAAAGTTAGATAGGCTCGACTCACCTCGCATGACGAATCCAGCAACACTAGTGTCGAAAAAATACCCAACGGTTCAGTCCACCTTTATCGCAGAGTCCCACCAATGGCTACGAAGATAAATGAACCATAGAAGTGGTTCGGAGTCCAAATTCCTCGCACCCAGATGAAGCCCCTTATTCGGCTCCCAAATTCCACCTCAAGACTCCGACCCACCTCCACCGCACCGTCCTCTACCTCCACCACCGCTTCTCCACCGCCTCATCGCCACCGCTTATCAAAAGACAATGACGATAACTTCGTAGCATTGCTAAACGACATCGTGCGGAGCAAGCAGAGTTGGAATTTGGCCCTCAACAACCCCTTTATATCCACCAGCCTCAACCCCCGCCATATCGAAAGATTTATCATCCAAAATCAGCAAGATTCAAGGTTAGCCCTTCGCTTTTTCAATTTTCTTGGTCTGCATAGGAACTTCCACCATTCTACGATGTCGTTTTGCATAATGGTTCACTCCCTTGTCCAGTCCAATTTTTACTGGCCTGCCTCTTCGCTTTTGCAGACCCTTTTGCAAAGAAAGGAGGATCCCAGTTCCATTTTTGAAAGCTTGTTTGACTCTTATAAAAGATTCAATTTTTGTTCGGCTTATGCGTTTGATTTGTTGATTCAAAGCTATGTTCAGAATAGAAAAGTGTTGGATTCTGTGGTGATTGTGAAATTAATGAAAGGGTGTAATGTGTTCCCAGAGGTGAGGACTTTTAGTGCGGTGTTACATGGATTGGTTAAGGTAAGACAATTCAACATGGTTATAAGTCTGTTTGATGAGCTGTTTTCCGGTTCAGGACTTCAGCCGGATGTTTATGTATACAGTGCTCTGGTTAGGAGTTTGTGTGAATTGAAGGAATACGATAGGGCGATGGAAGTGATGAGTTGGGTCGAAAAGAACTGCAAATTGAATGTGGTCATATATAATGTGTTGATTCATGGATTGTGTAAAGGTGGGAGAGTTTTTGAGGCTGTTGATATTAAGAAAACACTGGGGTTCAAGGGTTTAGGAGCTGATGTTGTTACATATTGCACGCTGCTTCTTGGACTGTGTAGAGTGGAGGAGTTTGGGATTGCTCGAGAATGGGTTGAGGAAATGCTGGATTTGGGGCTTGTTCCAAGTGAAGAGGCTATTTCAAATGTAGTTGACGGGTTGAGAAGAAAAGGGAATGCTGGCAGTGCTTATGTTTTGCTCGATAAGGTGGGGAGATTTGGGACAATGCCTAATTTATTTGTTTGTAATGCCACGATTCATTCTTTGTGTAAAGATGGGAAGCTGGATGAAGCAAATTCGTTGTTTGGGAAGATGAATGAGATGGGGTTGCTCGTAAATGATATAACTTACAACATTATTATTGATTCATTTTGCAAAAGAGGGAAAATGGATGAAGCCTTCAGCGTTTTTGATAAAATGCTCAATGTTGGAATAAAACCAACTGTTTATCCCTACAATATTTTGATTAGTGGGCAATGCAAGTTGGGAAAATTGAATGCAGCAGGGTCTCTGTTTGTTAAGATGAATGATAAGGGATTGACTCCCACTGTGGTAACGTATACTTCATTGATAGATGGTTACTGTAAGAAAGGAGAAGTGAACAAGGCATTAAGGCTACATCATGAAATGACAGGAAAGGGGATTTCACCAAATGTTCGTACTTTCACGGCGCTTATATCTGGTTTTTGTCGTGCAAACATGATGGCTGAAGCTAGTCAATTATTCAATGAAATGGTTGAAATGAAAATTATACCAAATGAGGTTACCTATAATGTTTTGATTGAAGGGAGCTGTAATGAAGGCAACGTGGCAAGGGCCTTTCAGTTGCTCGATGAGATGGTGAAGAAAGGTCTTGTACCGGATACCTATACCTACAGGCCTCTAATAACTGGGCTTTGTTCTATGGGTAGAGCATCTGAAGCTAAAGCATTTGTCGATGATCTTCTAAAAGAGCATCATGAGTTAAATGAGTTGTGCTATTCTGCACTATTACATGGTTATTGCAAGGAAGGAAGATTGAAGGATGCATTGAGTGCTTGTGGTGAGATGGTCAAAAGAGGTATCGCCATGGATCTTATATGTTATGCTATACTTGTTCACGGGATTCTCAAACAGAACGATACGAAACTGTTAATATCAATTTTCAAGGAGATGCTCAGCCAAGGATTGAAGCCTGATGGTGTGATGTATACTAACATGATTGATATGTATGGAAAAGCTGGAAATCTTGAAATGGCGATCAGCCACTGGGATATAATGGTAAGTGAAGGGTGCATCCCAAGTGTTGTGACTTACACTGCGATGATAAATGGCTTATGCAAGGCTGGTATTGTTGAAAAAGCAGAGATTCTTTGTAAAGAAATGTTGATTAGTGGCTTAATACCTAACGAGATCACATATGGGTGCTTTCTTGATCATCTTACTAAAGAAGGGAATATGGAGGAAGCCATGCAGCTACATCAGGCAATGCTTAAAGGGTTTCTTGCAAACACCATCACATACAATATGCTAATTCGAGGTTTTTGCAAGTTTGGCCAAATTCAGGAAGCTGCTCGGGTCCTAGTCGAAATGACCGATAATGGTATCTTTCCAGATTGTATAAGCTACTCGACGATTATCTATGAATGTTGTCGGAGGGGTGACTTTCAAGGAGCCTTCCGACTATGGGAATCCATGCTAACCCAGAATCTGAAGCCTGATGCCGTGGCTTATAATTTACTAATATATAGATGTTGTGTTGCCGGAGAACTGAACAAGGCTTTTAAATTGCACGAGGATATGGATAGACGAGGTCTGAAGCTAACTCGGGCAACCTATGCTTGCCTTCATCAGACTTGCTTCACAGGATCACTCAGTCCTACCAGCAGCTAACTGCTGGTGAAATGTCATCTATATGATGTGTGTATCACAAGAAGCATAGTTTCTGTTGACGTCTGAATCTGGCTAGAATATTCTGTCAATAGAATGAGCCAAAAACCTCTATCCAACCTGCACTCTCTGCAACGAGGTAGAATGCTTGGCCACTGGGAAGGGAAGGGTGGTGTCTAGAAGCACTCTGATGCCCACGTAAGATGGAAAATTTATGAAGAAAAGTGACTGGACACTAGGAGGAGAGAGAGCAAGGACAAGCAAGTCGTAGCTCCCATCATGTCAATGTCACATCTCTGACATGACGCCTAGCTTAGTCATCATAGACAGTTACTGTGCCCAGTTTTTTGGAGGAGGCACGTTGGGATTGTTGAGCCGACACTTCTTGAAGGAGGCACAGTTGAGTGCTTGACTTAGGTAAGTTGCAGTCGTCTATACCGAGAGCTTAGGACAGTTGCTGAGCTGCCGCCTGTATAGTTAGGCTTGCAGACAAATGACTCTTCTTGCCCAAGGGTTAGCATTTAGGTGTCAATAGGTTGTTTAGTCTTCTTGGCTGGGTCCCTCTGTGCCACGACTTGGGATAAGCAAATAGCAGTTTCATTTCGAACTTCAATGGTGGGTGATCTCACTAAAGATCCTGGGTCGGATTTGTAAAGGTTTAAGGTCATGATTTTATCGAGGACCACCAAAAGATTGTGAGATATTGTTTTTGACATTAATCGGACTCTTACATTAATCCAGTTGTGCAGAAGTAGACAAGATTGACAAAGAACATAACATAGGACTAATTACTTGCAGTATCCTCTGAGGAGAATGCTGACAAGGTTTTTACATCATTGACTTGTAAAGAAATAATTTAGTCATCACTTCATGATGGGTTTGTAATCTTTAGACTGGTGTTTATTGTATTTATTCCTTGAAGTTCTTCTGTAGAAAAATTCTCTGTTGACATTGCTTATTTTTTTTTGAAAGCAGTTCACTGGCATTACAGCCAAGAGCAATGGAGCATACCAATTTTGTAAGTGAAAGATTATACATTCTGTTTTATTTATTAGGGAAATTGCAGCAATAGTCCCTGATCCATTGTCTTAGTAGCAAATGAGCCCCCATTCTAGTTTTTTGACGTATCATGATTCATTCTGCTATATTTATTAGTGGAAATTATAGCATTAGTCCCTTATATATTGTCTTAGTAGCAAATGAGCACCCATTCTACTTTCTGCATTTATGTCCCCAAAGTATCATTTATGTTACATCTAACTCCTCGTTGGACAAAAAGTCTTTTTGGCAGGTTTGCTGACAATTTGTGTTATGTTTTTCATCAAAAAGGCCATTATACCCCTATTCTTAATTTAAAAAATAAAAAGAAAAAGAAAACCAAAATAAAAACAATAAATAAATAAAATTATATCCTTAATCTTCTTTAATTCAACATCCCAAGCACCCTATCTAGGTTAGGTCTGCTTCGCTTCCGGCGAAGATCTTGAAATGATTTCTTAGAGTTTAATTACTCTATTTGCCGGCAATCCCAATTCCTTTTTTCCCACCTTGAATATACGTTCTTTCTCAATCCATCTCCAATCCCTGTTTCTTCAGTTATTCCTCCCCAACCCATCTCAATCCCAAGGCATTTTATGTAGTTCTCCACTGTGTTCAAAACTCCTTGTATGCAATGAGTAGATAGTTGAGTCCATATTCTACCACAGATTTTTCAAATTTTGTTGGCTGTTTAAATGGGTTTTCGCTTATGGAGGAGATTTTCAACTTTTTCTTTATGTCAATATTCAAGGTTATATGATAATAGGATATTCATATTGATAATCATCTGTTCAAGGAAGAAGGGTACAAGTTGGGTCGGAGGAAATTGGGTTGAAGTTTGGTTGAGAAGGAAATAATTGTGGTTGAAGCTGAGTTGGGGAAGGAAGGAACCAAGCTTGAAGGTGGATTGGGGAATAATTCGGGGTTCTTGTTAATGAAAAGCAAACTTTCACGATTCATGTGGACGGTTGTCCAATAAGGACCGAGGAGCAATAGAAATTATACGTTGGGGCAAAGTGCCCAAAAGATAGAATAGAGACCCATTTGCTACTAAGGCAATAGGCGGGGACTAATGCTACAATTTTCCCTTGTATATTCAATGCGAACTAAAACAAATATCACGGATGGTCGCCCGAATGCAACAATGCATAGCAACATCTACACTAGCATGTACGAAGTGAAAGGAACAACAATGTTGAATGAGATGAATAAGAACAGTCGAGAACACATTTCCAAAACATAGAAACCAACTGAACGGCGGTTATCCAGAAATTCACAGCATAATTCCACAACAGAAGTCATAAAATACGATCAAAATGACTTATTTTCTGTATAAAGAACGCACTACAAAGTCAAACTTAAACAAGAGACAAATATAATAGCTTAGGCGTAGCACAGTTTCACGAGCTATTAACATTTCTCGCAAGTTGAGCAAAGGGCATATAGCGTCATACTTTGCTGCAACTCTAGAGAACATTTAATTGCAACGACTTTTGAAAACATCAAGACCCATTTCAGTTGGATCAGTTGCTTGGAGCTCCACCTGAATGCCGTCCAATTCCCTCTTGAATCTGTCCTTGGAGCTCGCGTAGATCATTTTGCTCCTAACTCTTGAAGCGTCGGGAGACCTTTGTAAATAGAAAATGGAGACACACCAATAGTTAGCACATTTAAAAAAAGTGGTGATTGAGATTGACATTTACACAAAATCTTTTGGCAATGTATTTACCATGCTATGAAGAAAATCCTGCTCTTTTGGCAATTCTCTTCAGTTACGAAGTCATAATCGTAAACTGCATATCGGCACTCATCAGCAGGAAGGCTAGCAGTAAAGTCCTCATAAGTTTGAATTGGTTCACCAAGCTTTTCAACAATAACCTGTTTTTGCTTCTCCTCAATCTTGAATACTATAAAACGAAATGTTCTTTTTGCTTTCAAATCCAAAAATTTCAGCTTACAGTCATCGTGCACTGCCATTCCCGACGCTGCGTTAGCCTACACACACAAGTGCTGTTAGGATCTAGGAACTAAGACATTGACTTAGTGCACCACACATGATTTGATGGTCATAAATTCTAATGATTTAAGAATGATATGTACTACAGGCAAGTAAAAGAGAAGATACACTATTTGATCTGAATGACGAAATGCGACACTTCAATTTTAAGGACGAGAGGGAGGGGGAACTGTCTAAAAATACCAGTCTTATAAGACAACAAAATAGTTAAAAACACTGCAAATGATGATTCCAAATAATATTAGTGTTTTCATTCAAGGTAAAATAACTACTACTTAAAGCTCAAGTAGTGGCAAGTAGCAGTTCTTTAAACGCCCAATTGCTGTCAAAATCCACATGCATGCCAACTAATCACATTAAAACCGAATGGATAAAACAACAGATAATGCAAGTAAAATGGCATTTCTAAGTCCACCTTCACAAAATCTAGAGCTATAATCTAGTATGCATCACAATGAGGGAGGCAACCAAACATATTTTTAGAGATTTAAGAAGTGATTGTGGCGATATTATGCATGTTCAAAAGAACTGAAGCATATTGTTTTTTGTTTTTTGTTTTTTTTTGCTAAATTAACTAGTTATGAAGCTATTATCAAATATCAACAAAGAATTTTAATATTGATAGAAAAGATATTGGTATATTAAATTTCTTGTGAATCTCAGCAATACAGAAAAAATAAGGTTGGCTTATTTCCAAATCCGAATTTATTTATCATCTAATTCAATGTTTATTGCCTAGTCAAAGTCCCAGCATGGCATCGTGGAGAAAGGAGAAAACTAATTACCTAAGTTGCACAAAAAGGGACATGGGACACGATCGTGGCGTGACATGACAACATGTGATTTTTAGAAAAAGTAGGACACAAGCACGTAGATTAATTTCTTTATAACATTTTAAATTCATTTATTGTATCTTCATTTTTATAATTTTTAATATAGGATACGGCACACAGCATGTGTGACACTTGCTCAATGGGTGTCCCTTAAGTATCCCACGAGAGTTAGTAATTTAAAAAATATATAAAAAATGGGACGAGCACATGGCTTGTTGGATACATGTCCTTGACCGCCCTAACAAGAGTGCATCATAGCTAATGAGTATCTTCTAGTTTAGTGTTGCATGCGATTCGCATCTATAAAATCATATAAAAATTTCCTTTGTATTCATATAACATAGAGCATATAAAATTCATGCCCTATTAGTTAATAGTGTTCTATGGAATTCAGGAATCTCAAAGATCGAGATGATAGAAGCAAAATTGGAAAGACATGGAAGAGCAAACATTTTGGAAGGAAGAAATGCTAGAGCATTTAAGGTCAGAGACTTAAAGTGAATCTTTTTAAGTGCTCCAGGGATTATAGTAATGATGATTGTACATCTCAAAAGAACTTTCTGTTAGATGTTTATAATTGTAAACGTAATTTAGTTCTATCTCTGTTCAAAGAAAAAGAGAGGGATCTTTTGGCATGTAGAAACTAATTGCTTCAAGATCTAACTAGTATCAACATGAATAATTTGATATTGTGCAGGCAGGCCTGTTTCAGAATTGCTGAATCTTCCGCTAAGTTATGTTCCAATGATGAAAAGAAAGATTCAATTCATTGCTGTAAACAAGCCTACACGAAAGATAAAACTTCTAAGGGACGCCTGTTTAAAACAAGCTGATATGCAACAAATCAAAAAGGAAAAAGTATTATGATGCATGGTGATCCCAGGAACACTATAGTAAGACATTAAAATGAAAATTGCAGCAGTTCCTCATCATTTGTGAGATTCTTTGTTTGGATACATATTAAGCAAGAACTGAGATGCAATGCCTTTCAATCATTTATTTTCATTTTGAATAGGAAGAAAACCAATCTGTTACAAATATTTGTTGTGTATGTTACAAATGGAACACCAGAAACCCGATGTTGAAGCTTAAAGGCAAAAAGGTCTTTATATAAA